GGTAATGGCACGAAAGCTTCTTTCAAAATCCATACATTTTGAAATAAACATATATTCTTTTCTTGATTTCAAAAGAATATGCATTGATTTCAAAATGTATGGATTTCGCAAGAAGAAGCATATGTGCCATTACCATCACCCTGAGAAGATCGTAATAATACCAAGGCCTCTATGAAACCTCCCAGATATCCTTTTTGTACTTTACAAGCTAACTATGGCAGCAGTGTTTGGATAGAACAGGTCATTGGAGACAGACCTTGTTGGTTAGAGGGTCACACTAGAAAATGAAGGAAGGATAGAGCAAAAAATAGTGGTACAGTTGTAACGGTTAACGTTCATGTGTAGCAAATAAGGAAATATAGAAATAAAAAGATAAAGGGTAATAATGAGTAGAATCTTTAATTTCTGCTATACAAGTTTTCATGATTATAAAGAAATAAATCATATCAAATCATATATTTAATAGTCCATATAAAAAAAAATGGCTAGTATATTACCCAAGATCCATTGTGGATCCGCTCAGAGAACTCTCGGATCTTGTCCAGGACATTCCAAACATCTGGGACAACATTCTTCCCATCACTTTGTATACACAGAATCTCTTGGAGCATGAAGAGCTACATGAAGTACCGATCTATTTTTAATGTTTATCTGAAAGTCCAAGAAAAAATACAAAAGAAAATGTGATAATTCAAAAAAAATGTAGCAATTGAATCCACAATAAATATACCACACACTATTGCACTCAAGATTTCCTACTCCCAGAGTAGCCAAAGGAATTTCAAAAACCATTTTATAAAAACTATAGTTGAGATTAACACCTTTATTCCAGACGGAGCAAAAATTTCCCTTTTTCTCTAAGTCTTTGTTCTCTCCCAATTTTCCTCCATTGGAACATAAGCACCAAAAAGAATTGATTTTTGTTTTTTTTTTAGAAATTCTAGACATATCCTCAAATGGATCCTTCTCTCAACAATGGCTCATGAGGATTGGGATCTATTTGCCATCGTGAGAAGTTGCAAAGCTGCAACCTTTACTGCCACCACAAACATAAACATAAAAACCCCACCCACCATCCCCATCACTCCTATTTGATTTAAGAAAAACTTTTCAAAATAATTAATATAAGAAATTGTATGATGAAACAAAGGAAACTATTGGAATATTCCACACAAAATAAAAACCCAAACAATGTTATTCTATGGATAAAAATGGATTTCAAAAGGCTATATCAAACAAAAAGCTGTAATTATGGCCACTATTGTGCCCACACTTCTAAATTTTTTAAACCAAATAGAGTTGCATCATAAATCAAACAAATACCTTCGACAACGAACTCGAATGATAGGACCACCGTGTTTCGGGAAAGCTCCTTTGGGAGTATCTCCAAACCCTAAACCATCAACACCCATTGTACAAAATGAGAGAGGTAAACAGAATCAAAAGACAAAACTAAGATACACAGCTAAAATGGCTTCACTACATTGTCATTCGTCGAAGAGAGCTTCAATGCTTCCCTGGACAGTCATTCATTGAAGATCAGGGAGCGTGGATCAGTGAGAGCACTTTAGGTCCAAGAGTGTTGAGAGGGTTTGCGTCCGAGAGTGTTGAGAGTGAGATGAGTATGCGTCCGAGAGTATGTTGAATAGTATTTTTAGGGAACTGATGTAAATATAGCGACGTTGAATAGTATTTTTCTAGTAATGATATATGCTTCAGGAAAAGCAACTCGCCACTCATAATTAGCCAAGGATCTATCCAAGCGTTCAAAAATTTGCCCACATCTCCAAGTAAAAGGAGATCCTTGAAAACCAATGTCCATCAAGCAACAACGTTAGGAGAACCACCTATTCTTTCAAATGGTCGTAAGACAGCATTGAAATCTCCCATTAAATTCCAAAGATCATCCATGTTATCAGCAATAGTGCAGATAGCATTCTAAAGAGTTATACGACCTAGCACAGTAGGATGTGTGTAGACCATAGTACAATACCAAAAGCTAGTACCAATTTCAATCTTCATATGAATAAATTCAGCAGACTGTTTCATGACAACAACATTCCATATCGAAGACTTCCAAAACCACCAAATACCACCAGATTACCCATGTGCATAAACTAAAAATCTTCTATCACAAGAAATATGTTGAGCTATCATCCTTGCTTGCTCCCCACTTATACGTGTTTCAAGCAAACAAAGGACACCTACGTCATGGACTCGAATCGAATCATTAATTAATGAAGAAAAATCTTTACTTCCTACCCCCTGCAATTTTGACATAGGAAATTCATTGAGATTCTTTAGGAGTGTTGGGTTTAGAAACCCTAAAATTCTCTTGGTCAGATAAACCTTCCCTAATCATACATAAAGACATAATCTTCCCATCAAAATTAAAATGTTTACGTAAAGCTTCCGCAAATGCAATTGTTTCTTCATCCAGTACAACAACATGAGTAGATGGCCTACTTAGAATAGGACCAGCATGAGAGGATGATGTCATTAAGAGTAATCCCTCAAGGACCCACTTAGTATTGAGTCTTTGATCACTACAAGAAATGTTACATGTAGTGACATACAAAAAGTGTCACTATAGGTACAATATATGTAGCTATATGTCTATTTGACATATAGTTACACACAATTTTAGTGTTAATTTTGAATGAGATTTAACAATATATTTTGTGTGTCACTATAGTCTATACCCACATTTTTTAATAAAATACCAACATATATTGTAGTTATTGTGTGGGTAAAAGTAATTTTTAGTGACATATATAGTGCACTATAGGGTGTGTGTCATTATATGGCAATTTTGTTGTAGTGGATCAAAGTCTTATTAGCATGTGAATCTGACAAGATTACAGTCAAGGAAGAATCCTTCTGTTTAGCTATCATTTTCTTTAACCCTATATTATTAGAAGCTTCCTTTTTAATAATGCCACTTTTCTTGGATTTCAAAGCATGACCAATTTGGTCAAACTTTCCTCAAGCAACCTGAGGATTCTTGCCTCCTAATGGGTTACGTATCTTTAGATGTGTCTGCTTGTTTTGAATGGATGGTTCTTTGTGTGAAACAGAATCCTGATATTCAACTAATTCCCTATCAACTGATACATCGCCCTAATCTTTCTCCAATTCCAAAGTGTAATTGCCCTTATTCTTTGGAATATTTTGATTCTGAGAAGAATTTTTTCCTTTTTCGACCAACATCTATGGTCTGTATAAATCCCCTGACTCAACCACAAGATCAAAGTTGGAATCCACAAATCCTTAGTTGGATTATGGCTTTGGTTTTCTAGTTCTTGCAAAGATGAGTTTTTCAAATTTTTACCTACATCATTAACTTCCATTGTGCCCTCTCTCTATGGAGTAATCTTGTCTGGATTGTCCTTAGAAACTTGAGCCAAATCCCCACACTATTCTTGCCTATGCCCATACTTACCACAATGGAAACAAATAGCATGCAGTCTTTCGTACTCCAGTTTAATAACATGACCTATAACATTGATCATAGACACCAGTTTCTTCCTCAAATTCACTTCAACATAGACCCGTGCAAATTTTCCCTGAGAATGAATAGATGTAAGTTTGTCTATCTTTAACATAGACCCTAACTTACTACCAACACGCCAAAGAAAGCAATCGTTATAGAGTTCAATGGGCAACCTTGGAATATAGATCCTAGTTGCAACCTTTCTTGTTTGTGAAGCAGTCATAGTAAAAAATGGTCTCCATCATTGGACAACAATGTAGCGGTCAGCTATCATCCATGGTCCCTCATAGAGAGCATGTCGATAGTCTTTTTCTGCAAAAAAACTACACCAAGAAATAATCGTTTGGCAGATCTATTATGCGGAAAAATCCTACCTTAACCCAATCATGATTAATCTTACTCTCAATAGCCTTAAAGGATAATATTTTTTCCAACACATTGATCACCAAAGCATTTTTCCATGGTGCACACCATTATTCAAAGTCTTCTTGCGAGACATTTATTTTCAGGCAAGGATTAAGATCCTCTCCACCATCATCCAAATCATTTTGTATCTTTGAAAATTTCTCTTAAAAGCCATCCATCTCTTTTAACAAATGATTATAGTCAGAGAAGATCATCCCATCACCTGTTGATAACATGCTATCAACATATGTGCGCTTGGTTTCAGCAACAACATGAGTATCATCATAATTTCAGTCCATGATAGCATCATGAACCCCTTCCTTTTCATTCTTCGTCTTCACCTTCTTGGTGCAGCTTGACTCCCATTATCAGCCACTGGATCAAGAACATTCACATTCTCCATTCTCAGTTTGGACTAGTAGATTCTTATTTATTGTGACATCCTTCTATTCCAAATTTTTAATAAGAAAATTTCATGTTAAGAATTAAAAATATTTTAATAAAACAAGTTTGACTTAGTCATTTTAGTAAAAGGGTTCACAAAAACATCATAAATAAAACTTTTAACTAAAATATGATTAAACTTTCAAAATAATCAAAACAAGGCATAAACCACCTTCTTACACAAAACTCCAATAAAACATAAAAAGTCATAAAATGAATTAAACTCTATCAACTAACAAAAATATATAAGTCTCATTATCCCTAATGTCACATTATCATAACAAGATCTCAGAATAATCATTGAAGCACTAGCACTACTAGGAAAATACTATTTTACATCATCATTTTTACATCAGTTAACATAAAATCGATGTAGAAATAAAACAAGGTGGCATTTTTGTAAATAAGCGTAAAAGGTTAGTATATTTACATCGATTACACGTAAAAACGATGTAATATATCATGTTTTACATCGATTATCTTAAGGACCAATGTAGTGTCTCAAGATCAACTCGTCTGCAACTAAACCCTTTGTACATTCTCACAATCCCTAATTGTGTTCTCCTTCTACCTAATCATTCGCTCGCATGCAACCAAACCCAAACCCAAGATTGAAGGTGATGTAATGGGATAATGAAAGTGGGTAGCGACCTTTTACATGGCGTCGACCTACAACACTGTGAGGAAGCTGCCTCAACGACTGCCGCCGTGCCGCCACCATTCGTCGTGCCGTCGTGGAGCACGTGGTCGGACGGTCGCTCAACGGCCTCCCCCTAGAAGGCTTCAACTACGCTCCATCCTGGGACAGTGCTGCGAGATGTCGATCAGCTTCGTTCAGATCCCAGTAGGCATGGCTGGTTCTTTGCTCCTCGTCGAGAAGGAGTACACCGTTCCCATGGCCACCACCGAGGAATGCCTCGTCGCCAGCACCAACCGTGGCTACAAGGCCATTCACACTTCCGGTGGCGCCTCCTCCATAGTCCTTCGCGATGCCATGACCAGAGCCCCTGTGGTTCGATTCTCCTCCACCAAATGTGCCTCTAAGCTTAAATTCTACTTAGAAGACCCTCACAATTTCAATTCCCTCTCTATCGCTTTCAACAAGTAATTTTTATTTTCATTTCACTTATTCTCTTTTTAATAAGTAACCATACTCCTAGTATATACTAGAAAAAAGGAGCATTATTACATAATCTTAATATTGTTGTATTATTAAATGGAGACATTGTTGGTTTCTTGAAGAATTCATGTTTCTTTTCTTTGATTTGCAAGTTGCCCACAACTAATTTGATCTCAGATTATGCTGTTAATTGGAAATGTGGGCATGTTTCATTGATTTTAACATCAATAAATTGGAGATGCCTTAATAAGCTTTCTTTTTCCCTTTAATGTTCACCTGATATTGATGGGACAAATATAAATTTTGCACAGGGTTTGCAGAGAAATTGAAAGAGCTATAAACTAAGGTGGATTAACTATCTAAGGCTAGGATTAAAGAGACAATTCTAGCCCCTCATCACATGTTAGGCAACAAGTATGCCACAAGAGTAAATCTTCTTTCACTTTTATCAGTTTTTATTAGTTTCAATTTTATGAGCAAGTTGGTATCCAGTAAGTAAATTTTTTAACTTTCAATCTAAAATATTGATCTAGACTTGTTAGGAATAGGTTTTAAATGTTAATTATGTTTTAATTAGTGTAAAATGATTCAAATATATAGAAACAATGATTTATCCAATTCAATGTTTGTGGATTAAACTAGAGAAGGTAAAAGGATTACGAGTAGCTTCATCTTTAATTCTATTTTATGGAAGCAATTGGTCCTTTTAAAGAAAAAAAAAGTATACTTTGTCCATCCCTCCATCCTCCTAATGTCTTAAACATCATGGACTTCGGTGGTGAGGTATACTTCGTGTTATTTATAGATGAACTTTTATGGTTTGTAGTTAAATTTTTGATAATGAAAGTTGAATTCGGTTGGAATCTATTGTAGTGTATTTATCATTTACGTGTACCAAATCTAAGTAGGATGTAGTGGTTTGGTATTGTTTTCAATTCTTAGCAATTCAACGAGCATATTAAGAATGTGATTCTTCCATTCTATAATATAATATATAATTCTTCTATTTTAGTGTATTTATCATTTACGTAGGGTACAAGGATTCTTAGCAATTCTAATTCAAAGGAAGAATATAATATATAATATAGAGTTCTATGTCTAAAAGTGAAAATTCGGAATGCATTGTGGCTATAGATTTCAGGCATCATTATATAATTATACTTGCTTTAGATTTGCAGCATGCTATTTAACAAGCAAATAAAGTCTGATTTCAAACTGCTACTTTCACAGATATTTGTTCCATCAAATCCTTGTGGAGCTGAAACACTACCCCCTAGAATTATTGTATCAGAATGTGATTTTTGTTTGCACAAATTATGGGGTGAACCAAGTGAGGTATGTTGACAAGCAGTTACTTATGATGTGAAAAATTATCTGTAGTTTGTAGTTACTAAGTCTCATGTTGTACTATAAATATAAAATTGAAACAAACCCCAATTGCATCTCTCTCTCTCCCTTACCTGTTTGAGTGTTGTCTATTGTTGTGATGGTGGGTGTTATAGGAAAATAGAGAGCCATGTGTAGCTATATTTCTTTCTTCCATGTGTAGCTATATAGGATACAAATCAAAACTATGACCCCTGACGCATGGTTTGCATGTCCATATTGGTTAGAGATGTGCTCTTATCTCAATTATGTCTTTATGCGGCTCTTATTCATGCATGAGACCATTGCATGTTAGTGCGTCAAGAGCCATGCATGTTGATAAGCTAGTGTGGATAGTGCTGACATGTTACATGTCTATTTCTTTGATATATTTCTTGCAAACAATCTAATGAAACCTTGAATGTTGTAGGATTTAAAGAAAAGGCCAAAGTATTTAGTTACATTCACTATTGGTTATGAACAGAGGCATGATATCAATGCTAAAATGAAAAAGGTTATATATAGAGATTGATTGCTCTCATATATATGAATTTATTTGTATATTTACCATTTCGTATTTTCTTCAAAATTTCTTATTGTGAAATCGTTATGTAGTTTTCTGATGATTTTGCAATTTTTTTCTTTCATCATAATGGTCGGACTAGTGAATGGGATGCAATCCATATTAGCGCAAGAAAACAAACAAAATAGTATAACAATTCATCTTTTATTTTTATTTATATTTTAATATAGAGGAATTATATAATAGATCAATCACATACTTTTGTTTTATTATTAACCAGTATCAACAATTACATGTAGTGACTCATACAATATATAATAGCAATGCTACAATGAAAAAGGTTATATATAGAGATTGACTACTCTCATATATATGAATTTATTTGTATATTTACCATTTCGTATTTTCTTCAAAATTGCTTATTGTGAAATCGTTATGTAGTTTTTTGATGATTTTGCAATTTTTTTCTTTCATTATGATGGTCGGACTAGTAAATGGGATGCAATTCATATTAGTGCAAGGAAACAAACAAAATAGTATAACAATTCATCTTTTATTTTTATTTGTATTTTAATATAGAGGAATTATATAATATATCAATCACATACTTTTTATTTTGTTATTAACTAGTATCAACAATTACATGTGGTGACTCAGACAATATAATTTGGTGACTCAGACAATTTAAAATTGTCTAGAACTCAGTTTTGTATGTAAATTACATAATCTGCTTAGAGAGAGAGGCTTAGTAAGTAGGTTTGATGGCTGATCCTATGCAAGAATATTATACTTATGTAAGGTTTTGATGAGAACCTTTTCTCTGACAAAGATGAGATATAACTCCATATGCTTAATTTTTTATGAGAACCTTATTGTAATTACAAGGTAATTATTAGGATCCTAGGCTGGGTAGTTGAGAGCTTCATATGCTTCTAATTCTTGGAATCTACTAATTGGGAATTTAAACATTCACCAACTTGAGCTATATCAGCCAGGAACTGCATGCTACCAACTTCTCCATTTGGGTTAGGAATAGCAACAATTAAGTTCTGTTGTTGTATATCATGAGTAGATGATCCAACTCCATCATTTCAAACAGGAATATTAGCCATCAAGTTAGCAGCTAATCCAGAATTATCAATAGAAATAACAGTCACCACTGATTTAACCAAAATAGCACCAAAATCATTAGCCCCTTTATATAAGTTTCTCTTTGAAGTCTTTATTTTTTGAATTTGTGGTTGTCGCTACTTGTTACTTATATCTAGTAAAATGAATCTTTTTAGCATTCTTATCTACCTTAGAATGTGTAGTTCTTCTCTCTTGAATAAAATGTTACTGTACTTTTCACTCTTATTCTTGGATTCTTTGTTAAAAATGAAAGAACCTAGTTATAGGGAAAGAAAACTTGAACAAAGAACCTGAAAACTATTTTTTTGTATTATTATTCAATTAATCTTTGAAATTATGGTCCATTATGGAATGGTTATATATTTGTATTCTTTCCCTCCATCTCTCTAGTGGCCATATGGCTAGTTTTTTTCATGTGATATCTTGTTATGATTTACAATGATCATGTTATATTGTAAGCCAACAATTCCATGTTAATTATAACACCTTGTTTATTTGGCAGGTAGAAGATTTTAAGGACCCAGATGTACATCATTAACTTATTATGCATCTATTTGGATTGTTTCTAGGGCACTCAATTAGTCTCGAGAAAACTATAGACCTCTATAAGGCTATGGAAACAAGTCTAATTAAAAGAGGTCTTTTATGAGAACTTTAATTAAGAGCTAAACTTTTTTAAGAGATAATAGTTGTAACACCCCAATTTTCAAAAAGGTTATTATTATTATTAGATGGTATTTGGTCATAATTATTTTAATAATTATAGAGGAACCCCATATGTAATATTAATATCTCATTGGAAGGCATTTGTATAAAATATTGTCTAATGGTATCATGTGTTTATTCCTTATGAATAGATAAAATGATTTTATGTGTTGAGACTTAGAAAACTTTCAAAGATTCATGAGTTTTAGGTGGGTGAGAATAAAAGAATAGAAGAATCATGAATTTTAAGTGAGAGCAAGAATAAAAGAATCATGAGTTTTACATTTTATGATTTTTTTTATCTTTCTTAATATTGTTGATATTTTAATTTATTTTCTATCATTATAATGTTATTAATAATCTTTAATGTGTGCAAAATTTGTCTTCACAATTTTCTATCATTAATTTTTATTTCATTTCTACCAATTGACATTGCTTTTACTTAATAATTTCTTAAGATTTTCTGCTTGTACTAGTCATAAGGAGAAAGTTTTTTTTTTAATTTTTCCTCATTCTTTTTAATTATTTTTTCACTATAAAGTGTATTAGTTCATTCTGGAGGCAAATGACTTCAATGATTAGTACTTGACAGTGTGATGTTATATATAAGATATTTTGGGATAATTGATGTAGAATTACCTATAAAGCTTTCTACAATGTAGAATAATGTATATTTTACATCGGTTCTATCAATAACTGATGTAGAATATGACATATTTTACATCGGTTCTTGGTGGAACCGATGTAAAATATGACATATTTTACATCAGTTATGTCAATAACCGATGTAGAATATATCATATTTTACATCAGTTTTGTCAATAACCGATGTAGAAATGAGACTTTTTACATCGGTTTTTACACTTTCTACATCGCTTGAATCTACATCATTTTCAAAACCGATGTAAAATGTCTAAAAAAATTGATGTAAAATGTGTCTTCTGTAGTAGTGTAGGTTTCGTCTCCCTCAAACACCTCTTCCTACACTTGATCTCACCCTACAAGCAACGATCAACCCAAATGCTCACAACAAAAAAATGGAGTAAGAATAATCTCATTCATTCATAGTACATATAAGTTATAAAGATATCACTAAAAGACATGCATCATAACACCAATCATTCTACATTTATTCACTCTCAACAACAATCATTCAAGTAATTCAATCAATTTTCATTATAATATAAAGACTCGTGCAATTCATGCAATTAACTCATATGCATGTGGTACCAATCACCTCATCATCATCAAAATCAAGATAGCC